CTAGTGATGGATGGTCGAGGAATAATTATTTCTTCTTGGTCAGATCACTCTACGTGAAGCCAAACCCTAGGATACGTGTGTGTTGTTAACTAAAATGTTCTCTTAAGCAAAATTGGTAGAGGTAACAAAGAAGACGGAATAGGGGTTAAAGTGAGCAGGAGAGGGCTAATTTAAGAGCAGACCCTTTTGGTACGAGTAGGCTGAGCTTTCTGTCAACGAACATGCTTGTTTTTTGTCTGATAATGCCTTCGCAACATGTGCGTCTGTGTCCAGTGTGTGTGCATGCCTGGGAGGGAGGAGTAAGGATTTAGGGCGGATGATTAGGAGGCAGGATGGCCAAGGAGTTTTGAGAACTATGGCGTTCCGTTGTGTCAATCTTGTGTGGACGTGATTAGCTTAAGCGTCAAGTTGAAACTGCAATTGTATCCAAACCAGAGTAAATTGCAGAAGTATTTTTGGGGATCACAAACAGCTTCTACTGGACAGAAGAAAGTATGCGGACAGTTTGCACACTCGAAAGTACGATGGAATCCAAGGTCCTCCTGCTTACATGAAGTTTCAGCCTATTTAGAGAGACAAATGAAGTTTTAGCGTGGCGAAACGTCTGGAATGTACCAAATCCACGGTCCGACTATGTAAATGATCATGCAAAGTCTTCCTACCAATATGACCGAGTTGCGAAAACAAGGTCAAACAGCTTCCATACAACGAAATGAGACTGCCACCATACAAAAGGCCACACCATTTTAATCTTCATACACTTGATTATTTTGACCTGTTTTCCGTGAGTACCTCATCGTTCGATAGATGTGACGCCCTCCGATACAGCACACCTAACCACAAAATAGGCATCCAATCGCATATGGAGGCAAGCATATCTTTCTACGATAAAGCTTCGGACCCTTTATACTAAGATGGGAACACCCAGTTGAAAAGAATACCCTTTCATATTTCCATGCAATGAGCAATCATAATCTTAATATAAAAGTTGTATTCACCCTATTGTATCAATTCGATGAAGGACCGAAAGCTGAATTTTCCCACAATCATGTGAGTAGATCTTGTCTTTCCACTGAATTTCAGGCTGGAGTAAACTGCAATTTTTGCTTTGCCTAGATTCCCTCAGGCCCCTAAGCGGGACTCGAACCATGGCAGAGCAATATATAATCTCGATGCGTTAACCCTTACACCACATTGTCACGAGCGCCCCTGGGTCATAGGGCAGTATTAAATTTCAACGTAAGCCAAATTATCAAATAAAAATAAGTAATGTAGACGATTATGCCAATTAATGTGATACAAGAGAAGGTCAGGCGTTCTTCAAAATTTAAATCCGCCCTCTGACCCAATGGCATTCGTGGCAGTGTGGATATATGGTTGTTATATCGAGAAAATACACTGGTTCGAGTCACGTTGGGCGTACTGAGGAGACCAATGCAGTCGAAACTGCAGTCTGCCTCTGTTTGGATGAGAATACCTTTTGGGAAGCAAGTATATGTCAAATTTAATGGAAGCGTAAGGCCTAATCATATCGTTGTGTGAAAATTGAACTATAAATCCTTCCTCACCTTAATAATATAGGGCGAGCACATCTCGTATACATAATCTACTGGTACTATCAAAAACCTCCTCATCAACGAATAATAATTATTCTACTTGTCCTTAAATTAATTTAGAATCTTAATCATATATATATGTATTCATGACCAAGTTTTTAATTATATTATTCAAAAATATCATCTGCGCTATTTTTAGACTTATCCTTACTGGTAGCATACGCTTCTTCATAGGAAATAAAGTAATTTTAACTCAATGCTTATTAATAGTTTTTTAAAACATATTTATGTTAGAAATTGATGAATCTATATTTATATTTTTTCTACAATAATAATTTAACCATATATATATATATAATATCCTAGAATATTTTAAGGTGCGAACTCTCTTTGATCCCAAAGTAAACTCTAACTCTCAACAGTATTCTTGCACTTGCTCCTATTCGTTAACTGGTGCATATTCTAAATTTAGCATGAATTCTTAATTTATTTTATTTTCATTCGAAAGCAACTTCATACTTATATCCTGATTGTAACACCGAAATAAGTTGTACTTTACTAAACACGAATAGATTGCATTCTAAATTCAGCTTTTAGTTTTAATTTCTTTTTTTATACCTATCCTTTTTATGAATGAATTTACTTACATGCATGTTGATTTTATTGACCGATTGCCTCCGGTTATAATCGAAGATATGGTTAATGAATTGTGAAGTAATGCCAGGCATATTAATACTTTTAAAATCAAAGCGCTTATTTCATTTCCATAATTTTTATTTAGTTAATAATTAATTTTTATATTTGGAATCTATCTAGCACTAGTTTCTGCAAGGTCCCTTTTACGCATTTTTTATTCGAAGTACCTTTTATATTTTGCATTTACCTCGTAAAGTGTCCACAGTTCTTATCTATATTCTTTCCTATATCCCAATATTATTTTAATGCATGTATATATGTGCATCAAATATGATATTCTGACGCGTATCCCTCTTCATAAATAGAGTACAGTTCTCCGATAATTTTCCGTGAAGCAATTTTAATTCTGATAAAATCTTGACTTTACTTGATGTCACCCTATTTAAATCTTCACTTTGATATTTTTTCACAAGTAAACTCTTATTTCGAATTACAACCCATTGTGTTTCATTTTTATATTCCGGATTATTCAATAACCTTTATGTATGCATACATTTTTGTTATTTTTTTATTATATTATTCTCACTTAATATCTAAATATACTACCATTATTATTCGAAATTATTATTTTTTTATTCTTTATATGTGATTTGTGTATACTACTTCCTGAAGCCAGGGGTCTATCCCGGCTCCGACCAAAGAAAAGTATCTAAAACCTACTCAAAAAAACGAGCAAAGGAAAATGGATGGCTTAGCGAAAGATAGATTCTCTTATCTACGCTAAAATGATTGCTGCAGGGGCT